GGCATGGGAGATAAGGTTACTTACTGTCCAGTATCTTTAATTCTCTGGGTATAAAGGCAGTGTTCTTTTCAGAGCTATTTTAGGCAAATACAGTTTTATTCTTGTAAAGCAATATAGATTATTTTGATCTGAAAAGCTGTTTGTACCTTTAGGGCAAACAAAACCCATTATTCAGGGTAGGATCACAGAATCACAGAATGGCCTGGGTTGGTAGGGACCTCCAGGATCATCAAGTTCCAACCCCCCTGCCACATGCAGGGCCACCAACCTCCCCATTTAATACCAGACCAGGCTGCCCAGGGCCCCATCCAACCTGGCCTTGAACACCTCCAGGGATGGGGCACCCACAACCTCTCTGGGCAGCCTGTGCCAGCACCTCACCACTCTCTCTGTAAAGAACCTCCCCCTGACATCCAAATGCTGTCTGCCACTCAGTGGGCTATAATGTTTACCAGAATCTGAGCATAAGAATGATTTTTTAGGCAAGTATCATAAAACTGCTAGTTTTGGAGAGTGATGTTGTCCGGAAGAGTGCAAGTTAGTATTGATTTGGTAAGTAATGAAATGCTGGGTGGGAGGACCAAAATAGGTATCCAAGAACCCCTTTTATAGTAACTATTGAGTTGCTTGTCCTGTATTGTTTGAGATGTTGAATACAGTTGATTTCAGCTTTTTGCTTGTAAGAGAATTTTCTGTGGGTGACAAGGTCATGTTATGAATGTGGTTGAGAATGAAGAAAAGGGTTTGGCACCCTGGGAAAAAGAAAAGTTTCTATATGTTTGGCCTCTAGCAGTTCCACAGGTATAATTTCAGTAGTGAACTTTCAGATTTGAAAAGCTCATTGATAAGCTCATAATCAGAAGTTTGTCTGCAAAATTCTTCTTTGCTTAAGAGTGATTTCAGGGTACTCATTATGATATTCTGTAGTCCTGGGTTACTTTAAATGGATTTTTAAGGCTAATTTCAAGTGGCATATGGATGCTTAGATGCGTAACTTCACTTTCTCTGTTTCAGTAAATATTGATTCCTTTCAACTTTTTTCTCTGTATTTGTAGTTTCGTATTACTCCTGAAAATGATACTACTTGCAAAACCGATTTTATGTACAGATTTCTGATATTTTAATTTCTAATTTGTCTTTCATGTTATCCGCATGTTTGAAATGAGAATTCCCTCTCTTTTTAGAAGCGTGTAGATGATCTGGCTTACTCTCTCTGGAAGCCTTTAGAATATGGGCTAATCTAAAAAAGGATATCTTAACTGAGAATTTCAAAAACTTCATGAAAATGTAATTCTAAAAATGGGAGTTTACAGCAGAGTGGAAAGGAAGAGTGGTTCACAGAATTTTTTTTCTGACAAAAATCAGCTTGCATTGAATGATCAGTCTTGAATGAAAAACAGTTGAGCAAATGACAATTCAGTGTTATTTTCTAAATGCTACTAATATGACTCGTAACGTAAGTTAGTATCTACTTGCTTTCTAAAAATCCAAGGTACTCCGTACTACAGTTAGAATCGTAGTACTGATGAAGAATAGACTGCATCTCAGAAGGGGATTTACTCCAAATTCTTATTCGGATTCACTCTTGTCTAAATGAAGAAGGAATAAAAAGACTAAGTTTTATAACTCGGTGGATTTGCACTCATCACGTACTGTTCAACACTTAATTTAAGGGGAAGTTGTTTATAGTTCCATAATACGGTTTTTAGATGTTGAAAATTTGGTTTCTATTTGTTCTATTGAGTCTAGACTCAGTGTAATGTCTGCACATCACTGATTCAGCACTGGGAATGGAAAGTGTGATGGGCTTCAAGGTCATGTTTTACTGCTTTAGAACCAGCAGGTAGTTTCAGCTTTATTTCATAATTTTGTTTTAAGCCTCCATTTATATGGAAGATTCTTGTTAGGATTGTGCTCGATTAGGGATGGTTCACATAGGTTCTGGGGGAAAAAACAACACAGTTGAATCCTTTTCAGTTTTTCTGTCTGTTCCATCTGTTCTTAGCAGCAAAGCTTATGTGTCCGTGCAGTAGTTGTTTAATGTAGCTGTAAACAGAGCTGAAATAAACTTTGACAGGTAACTAAGTTGAGCACTTGTTCAATTCTGAACTTGTGCTTAGATAACAGTTCCTAGTTGTCTAACTTACTTGAGGAGAAAAGGGACATCTTAGCAGATATAGGGGATCCCTCTGGGGTTTATTGTTGTTAGCATTTCCAGCACAATACTGAGAATTCTTTTATTTCATTTTCAAGAAGCTAAGTGCGGTAGCTGGTAGCAGCTCAATGCTGTCACCCCAGAAGGAAAGGATGGCTTCCTAGGTGTGACCAGCAATTAATAATGGATCAGAAACAGTTATGAACTGAGAAAGAGGAGGAACTATCACACAATATCCTGAGCTGGAACTGACCCATAAGGATGATCAAGCTCAGCTCCTGGCTCCGCACTGAGCCACCCAAATTCAAACCCTATGTCTGAGAACACTGTCCAGATGCTCCTTGAACTCTGACACTGGTGGCCGTGCCCACAGCCCTGTGCAGCCCGTTCCATGCCCACTGCCCACGGGTGCAAACCCTTTCCCTACCGCCCAGCTGCCCCTCCCCTGATCCAGCTTTAAGGATGAATCTCTAGAACAGCTTACTGAAGCCAGAAATAGGATTGGGTACTACAGGCACTTCAGAGGAGGACTGTCTTGTGTTCTTTTATTCTTTATAAGAATAATGTGATTTTTAGAATGAATGTCTTGCCTCCTAAATATGTGTATACAAAATATGCTTCAGCAGGCCATGCTTTCCACGTACCTGCTTTTAATTATAGCATGAGGCAGGAACAGTAAAACAGTCATTTCAACTGTTACAGTGGGAAGTTGCTGAATTTTACTGAAGTGTGGAATAGGTAGTAAAGAAAATAATTTGCAAACGTCAGGACTAAGGATAACTGGTACGGTATCACGGTGCAAGGATTTTATTTATTTATTTTAAATCCAGGATCTTTTCTCCACGTTAATTGGAGGAGCTGGTACTTCTTTGGGCAAGTTGCCTTACAGCAGTGGCTTTAGTGGATTCTTGTGCCTCCTGTGCCGCCTACTCTCTGACGTGTGCTTTGTCTGGTCTTGATGTAGCTAATTATGTCTTTCTGTCATGATGTTATTAGTGAATCTGGAAAGAGTGTTTGGGGCAGGAGTTATTTTCTGTTATGTGAGCATATAGTGCACAACTCAGTTACAGAATGTGACTGAAATGCTTACTCTCAACATTCATAAGCTTACAGTTAGACTGTAGTTATGTACTGAAGTTTGTACTGATTGGTGGAAGGAAATTGTATTTTTATGTTTTGAAAAGCTTAGTCTGGTGGGGTAGGTCATTAGAAATTTCTGTTCAGCTGAGCTGTGTATAAATATCTATACTTTAATGTGTTGATAATCTGAGGATGATGAGTATCCTTCTGTTTTCTTTTCTGTACTGGGCATCTAAATGAATCTGCAGTTGGTGTTGCAGGTGGTTCCAGCAGTGAGAGGCACAGCATAAGCACAGTTCACCACATAGGTGCACTTGAAGCGTAGTTTTGAGGAACAATATTGATCAGCACTCAGGAAGACTGGCAAAACATCTGAAAGGTCTGAGTGTTTTGGTAGTGAGCTTGACGGGGGAAAAAAAAACTGCTAAACCGAAAGAAAAAGATACTTGCTTTAAACTTCAGTGTTTTGTTGAGGAAAATACATCAGTGAATTTATCCCTGCTCCACATAGAGAGGTGTATCAACTACCATTGATGATTAGCATGCTAATTTAGCGTGTTTATTTCTACTGACAAGCAGAATTTTGTAAATGCAATCCAAAAGTATTTAAGGCTCTAGTAATGAAGAAAGAGTGGAGACCACTAGGCTGCAGGATGTAATCAAAAGAGATGGAAGATGACTGGGTGTATCCTCAGCTGAGTATTTAAGAAGAGGAAGCTCTGCATGCCCTGTCATTTAATCCGTTTTGTTCTTATTTTCCTTAAGCCTGTATACTTTTGTTAAGTTATGGAAATGAGTGAGTAGGGCAGGCATTGAAGGATGATATAATGTTGGTACGTAATTTGTCTGTGGTACTTGCAGGAAATAAATCTATGCATAAAGAACATATTATTCTTGCTGTCTTAATCTGCTCAGTGCTGGTAGTTTTTCAAAGCAGAGGTTGTCTTCTTTTGTTATTTGGAAAATGCACGCTGTGTAGAAACTGTTCTCAAATCTTAAGATTTGTTGAAAAATTGAAGTCTTGGTGTTACTGCAGTGAATCATTATTTAAAACAGTAGAGTTCTGATGCGCCTATTGTAATGTTCTTAGAACATAAGGCCTGTTTGCATTGTAGTCTGATGTTGCTGTATGCCTGTTAGCCAAAGGGCAAGTTGCATCAACAAGTATTTTTAGACAGAAAAAGAGATGAAGGAATGGTGAATTGAGATGTTCATTGCTAAGTAGTGCTCGTATTCTACAAGACAATGCAATGCTTGTGCTGTTACTCAGCATAGTCTCAGTCTTCTTAGGTGAGTAACATATAAGCCTTTTTTAACTTGCTTTTGTTTCTCCAGTTAGTGAATGAAAGGACATGTGAAAATGCTTTCTCTTTGTATGTCCCTCCACGCCAGTTCTTTAAAAATTACAGTACATCAGGGAGAATGGCAAATGAGCTACAAGATTAAATTTGTAAATCTTATAGCAGCATTGTCCAGGAAGAAAGTTCCAAAATTTAAAATGATTCCTATGGTTGTAGTTTTTCCTTAAAATGCTGCTTGATTTACATTTGTATGATTAATAATAAATATAATTTTTAGTTGACATCTCATAAAATTATTATCGTAAGGAATGCATTACCCACAACAGGGCACTTACTGTGGCAGTGTTACTTTTATTAAGCCATTTGTCATTTTAATGTTGTGTTCTGACTCTTAAGATTTTCTGTCTTACTCAAAAAAACAAACAGCAAAACAAATTCAATACTGTTTTTTTTCTTTCTTACAGCATTATCTGCATACCAGAGGTACTACAGTTTACAATCTGACTACTGGAAGGTCTGTATATGCAGCTTCTAAAATTTATTTATTTTGCTTAAATATATTGCTGTAGTGATTGAATTTCTAAAATAGATAAATTTCAGTATGTTTGGAGTATCTACCTGCTGTTTCTTTGTGGTGTATCAATTGAGCCTAGATGGATGTATTCACCTGTTTGTGCAATTTATCATAAGTCTAAGTGGAAATATCTTTACACTGTTTATTGAAAGGAGAGATGGGGTAATTAGCCACCGTGTAGATTTTTTTGTTGCCTGCTGCTTCAGGTTTTTTAATGTAAACATCTATTTGAATGCATGTGAGTACTGAGAAAACCATGACCACTTGAAGGCTGCTGCATAGGTGTTGGATTTGTACTTGGAAAAATGTTCTCAGGTTGTCTTTTTTTATTTTCATAAATATCCCCCTCAGTATCTCAAGAGAGTGTCCTTGCATGAAGTGGGAAAAAGTTCTGTTTGTAGAGACGTGATATCTGAAACTTAACATGAAGATATCAGGACCTTAATTGAATAATATTTTAGAATTCTTTAGTGATACTGTGGAAGAAAATAGGTAGCATTGTTGTGTTGTCCTGTGAAATAATGTGAAGCTCATAATTCAGTCACAAGTGCAGGAAAACACATAGCACACTGCTTTGTGGTCTTTACAAATGTTTTCCTTAAGTGTTCTTAAGTACGTGTTTCAAATGGGGAGAGAGGGTTCACTCTGGAGAAGACATACCAGCCTTCAGTAAACAACATTTTGTTTGTTCTTTATGTTTTTATAAGTCCTGTCAGTACGTTATGAAAAGTCTTGTGCTGTCCTCTCCCGTTTGGGAGGATGGGAAGTGCAAGGCAGTGGAAATAAAGCGTAGAAGAATGAATCGCACAGAGTCACAGAATGGCCAGTGTTGGAGGGGACCTGAAGGATCATGAATCTCCAACTCCCCTGCCGTGCCATGCCACCAACCTCCCCATTTAATACTAGACCAGGCTGCCCAGGGCCTAGAATTGAGCTGAATATATAGGGCCTAGCAATGAGCTGAAATAAATGCATTTTCCATGCACATGGAATAGGTGTACAATGGGAAGGTCCTAGGGAAATTGTGCAGTTGGTTTTGTCATACCCCTTAGCCCAGTACAAGTTGAACAAAGTCCGTTTTTGGACCAGAGCATTTTGGAGTTGAGGAAGTTGTTCTTCAGAGATAAATGTTGCATTTAAAAAATGCAACAAAATTAGCATTCATCTGTTCCTCTTGTATGTGCTTGGAGAGTAAAAGATTGTTGTAAATGAGTGTGTTGGAATCAATTAAATGTCTGTTGTAATTATTTCTATTATTTGTACTCCTCTCACGTTAAACATTTCACAATAATTTATTTCTAATGTTTTTTTTTTACTCTACTGAAGGAAATGATGATTACGAAATTTTCTCATCATTTTCAGAGTGCACAGGGTGGTGTGTAAGTGATGATATATTTTCAGAGACAGAGTGGTTTGGTGTGGCTCATAATATCTGCAAGTAAAAGGCATGGATGGCTGTAAAATGTGTAATCTCTGCTTGACTTGTTGAAACCAATTTCTGTTTATTCACTGTGGTAATATTCTAAGGTACCAGTTTCTTGTTGGACCATGCTAGGTTACTTGATGTCATTAAGCTTCCTTATATAAGAGATATTTAGTGGTTTTTTTTTTTGGTCACTGGGTTATGTTTTTTTGGTGAGGGGTTTCATAATTAGTTTTGAAATTTTCTTGACTTTTATCTGCATGAAAAAGAGCTTGAAAAAGTCCAAAGGCATTTTTCAACTGAAGCCTCCTACTGATGAAACTGATTAAAAATTGGACTAACCGGATTGCTTTCTTAATGGATGGTTAAGGTAGTCTGGGTTGGGGCACAGTGTTTCCCCTCCCTGCATCCCTATGCTTCCCTGCATTGAGCACATTTCTTGTTTCTTGTTGTCCTTCAGATCTTGTATCTACATGAACACTGAGTTTGCAATCTATTTTTGGTCACCCAATAATACGCTGTTCTTATAAACTTAATAATTAACAGCAATTTGCAAATGCATAAGAATAAACAATAAAAACCTCCAATTGCATTTCCTTGGTTTACAACATTTATTTTTTTTATAAGATTCTGTATTAAAAAAAAAAAAAAAGATTTGAATTCTTTTGGGGATCAATTAAGCTGTTGGAAATTCTAATGGTGAAGGAGGAGAGAAGGGTGTGAAGAAAGGGTGGTATTTGTGAGCAGTGATGAGAGCTGTGTGAACGTACTGAGAAACTGATGGAGATTGCTGAATCACATGAGGGTTGTTACATAATTCAGGTTTGAAAACAGGCAGGAGCAGACTTATAAACTTGTGCAGCATATCGGAAATGATTTAGTGTTGCTCTGCAAATTGATGTGGTTCAAATTAGTGTCCTTTTTTGCTTAATAAATAGAACACTTCTAGATGGATTGTGAGAGGCTTTGTGCTCGTTTTGTGTGTAGTTTGGCCTCCTCGCTTAGTGTTTTTAGTCTGTGCTGCTTTGGGTTTTCACTGTTGCATCATGTTGGTTACGATTGTTCTGTCAATGGATTATCATCAAAGTGCATTCATTCTGTGATTTATCTTTTTATTTTATTCTATTTTTAAATAGAGTTTTTAATGGTCACGATTTTTTTTTTACCAGATCTTATTTCTGTCTTTTAAAAATTTGATGCCTGGGTTGTTTTGTTGCTAATATGGGTGGTGATTTTTTTGATTCTGTGAAACAAAGAAGAAGTAAATAACTTGTGTTTAGAATTTACTTTCATGTTATAGGTGCAGAAGTGAAAGGTGAAAGAATGGGAGGAGGCTGTATTTTGCTGTTTACCAGAAGAATGTTCATTCTTGCTGGTGAAACACTACCTGCTTCCTAAGAAATATTATCTGTATGGGTAGCTTTGATAGAGCTGCACTGCATTATGTCACATACTCCTAAACGGGCTACTTTTATCAGTAATCTCTTTGGGCACCCACATTTCAGTGCAGAATGTCCTGCAGAATTTGAGTTACTGCAGTTTTTGTTCGTCACAGGCACCGTGCTGTCTTAACTCCATTAAAAAATATTTGACTTGAAACCTGGCAAAGTAAATATCTCAACTCGGATAAAAGCTGAGAAAACTTAATAGAGCTCTTCAGTTCAAGTACTTTTTTCCAGTGTTTCTTCTTATGTTCGTGCTAAAATAAATCTGCCTTCTGTGCAGTGTACTTCATTCGTATTTCTTTTTAAAACTCCTGTGTCAGAAATTTTGGGGGAGGTGAGGAGGATCTGCGGAGGATGAACAGATAGGAAGGGCAGCTCAGGAGAGGGAGACAACAACTAGAAATCCAATTTGTAGATTCTGATGCTGCTGAGAAAATAGATGTCAAGTGTTAAGTGTCTGCCATGGTTATCAGTTTTGACATATTCTAAGGAGGGAAGGACTAGAACAGCAAGGAGTAAGATGCATTTTATCTGAACATGGTGGGAGATATCTGGCACCTGGAAAAAGCTATTCTAATTGTCTTGTGTGGCTGTATTATAATACAGTTGATCGCAATGATCTCGTCCATATAGCATCTGGGTTCTATTAGGGCTGTCTTAACCAATTTCAGTACATGAAAGGGTGAATGTGTAAGTGTAAAATACGTGTGTCTCTTGAATTGACATGGTTCCTTGAGGCAGAGGAAAGCTTCCCCTCCCTGTTTCTCTTCTCCCCCATGTGGGGCTGGGAAAGATTTCAGTGCTTGCTGAAGTGATTCTGGCGAGGTGTTTGCTGAAGAGTCTGGTTGTTCACTACTTTCATGAGATCCTCTCTGCTTTGATATAGCACTGTCACTATAGCCCCCATTTTGGTTTGATAATCCTGTTTGAAGTACATTTATGTGATTTTTTGCAGGTAGGTATTTGTTCACATATTGTTAGTTATAGTTGTGTACCTGTCGATGTTACAACACAGATTTTGAATGAATAAAACTCTATGGTGCAGGTACATATTAGGTTGAGCTGCATAGGTAGCTGCAGGCAGACATAGATAGCGGGCAGGTAACCTTCCTGACAATAGGTCTTACCTGCAGGAAGCTTCTATGTGCTAGTTCTCTGCAGTGCTCCCATCAGCCATCTGCTATATACATCTTCATAGGTGGGGAATAGGTATGTACCTTTCTAGACAGTATTTTAGTCATATCCAAACTATTGAGGATGAATTGTAAAAATATGAGGACAGCACTGCTGTTGTACACGCAGTGTACGTGATTGTGAGGGTGTGAATAGAAAGTGGCCATCAGGTACTCTCTGCCTGTGCTTTACTGGGCATTAGAACTCCTGTCTAAATTCATGTTTTTACCTCAGGCCTTCTCCGTGTCTGTTGATTTTTGGCATCATGTTTGCAAATAACAGAATTTCCTTGCACGTTTCTCAGCTTGAGGAGAGTCTAAAACCATGCAGATGTTCAAAAACAAAAATAACAAAACAAAAAGATAATAAAACCAACTTAAATTCTATTCAGAAGTCCCAGGAAAGTGAGACTGAGTAACTGTGTGTGTGTGCTTGTCATGGACGAAGAATCATATTATCTCAGAATTATTCATGTTGGAAAAGACCTTTAAGATCTTCATGTCCAACCACAATGTAATCATAATACCCCAACTCTGACATCAGTCTTCACTGAGTTGTTGTCTTACAAAAGAAAGCAATTTTACGATGTTCTTTGATATGTAGCCCTGCAGTGTAATGTAGTACCAGTTAATTGTTTGCAGTGCTGTTTTATAATTAAACCTTTGTAAAATTGTTACAAATGGTATTTTGTAGCTTCATGGTTGAAACAGTTAGTAGTAAGACTTCTTTCCCATAAAGAGCAAAAAGTAAGACTAAATATGTTTATTTTTGAATTTGACCTGGCTCTCATTTTAAATATACTCGTACAACATTTTTTTTCCCTTCTGATTGGCAAAATGTGATGGCTTTTTTTCCTGTTTTCTCAATGCTATAAAATAGGAAAACAATGGAAAATGATG